AATGGGGGTTGATACTCGATTTGGCCCTCTAGATGAGAATGAGGCAACATGTGGAGCTTGGATTTTTACTTCCTCTGTTTTTTGTATAACCGCTGTGGCAGGTCTACATACATATAAACATACATACATGTATGTAATTAATTATAATTCAAATGGTAAATATAATGCATATATGTATAATTCAAATCATATATCTCCCATGTAAACAATATAAGATTGCTGCATATAGACATGCATGATTAATTAATCAAATTAATCCTCATACCACATAAATACATATACATATATATATATGTATATACCTCTTCATCATCAGGAATGACTGGAGCAGCAGTACAAGTGGTAAAGATGAAAAGAAGAATCGTAAGTTGATAGACAAGGAACGATGAAGATGGTAAGAGGATGGCCATGTTTGATCTCTTACACTTATTGTTCCCTGTCCCTCTCGCTCTAGGTTGATAGGACAAGAACTATACACACGTACCTATACATATATAGGGTTCTAAAACAAATGATAGCCATGTTATTAACAAAAGGAAACGTCTGGATGAGGACAGATGGTATATGCAGTAGGTTAAACTCCATTTATAGGATTTGGAAGCTTTATGGTTTATAGTATTAAGCCTTAAAAAGGAAGGTACTGAACAAAATTCTGGTTAATATTGTATATAAATAGTCAATACATTTTCGTTATCCGCCGTTATAATAGTTTGTGATCAGCTACACACTTTAGACATCTTTTTGGATTGTTTCAAAAATAGTTTATAATTTACTTTTTGCAAAAAAAAAAAAAATTGAACTAAAAAAAATCTTACCCCACTTGTAAACCTTGATTCATCCTAAAACTTTATAAAAGCAAAGTAAGCTGAGAATTGTCCACCTATTTATTTCTTATTTTTTTCTAGTTCAAACTTTGTGGGTTTGGCCAATGTGTTTGCTCCTCGTTATTCAAATCACTAATTTGGCTAACAAGCACTAATTATTACATAATTACCTTATAAATTTGTTGGCTCTTTATTAAACACATTGCAAGAGATTACTAATTATCATTTACTTTAATTTATAGAAAATAATTTAATTAATTATTTAAATGCTAGTACATTTACTTCAAATCTACTTTAACTAAAGTACGAATCATACATATGGGCGGTCAAATTTTGTAAAAAATAATTTTTTATAAAAATAAAATAATTAAAATTGAAAACTAAAATACTAACTCTTGAACCCCATAAATAGTAAAATGAACAAATTATCTTTAAAAAATTAAGTTGATATGAAATTTTTAGATAAGTTATTTAGATCATAATAAAGTTCACTAAAACAAAATTATGCTTGATTAGCATAACTAATTATCTATCCCTTAGGTGAAATTTGGCACTTTCTCTGTATGAAAGTTAGCCCACTTGAAACCATCTTATTAAATGTTTATTTTTAAAGCCTAGTATATATTCACTTGGGCTTGGGCTCGGTCCACCTTAACACTTATCTTCCCTTTTTTTGTTCTTCTTTTTAAAATAAGCCCATTAGATAAATACTGTCTTTTTTTGTAGGACTCTTCATCTTTGGGCTTAGCTACTGAGACCTGGAGTTTCAGTTCTATCGGACTACGCCCACCTGGCCTACTGGGATCTAATCCAGGATCCCGCTTTCTCTTCCCTTCCCTAAACTCGTTGGGACTTTAAGACCTACCC